TATTTTCTTTTATATGATTTCCAATTATGACCACAGACAAAAACCAAAAGATGGTGGTATCAGGGTGTTACACAAATGAACAAATGATGGTGGATGTATATTAGCCCCTATGTTTTTTACTTATTTATTTAATACAGCAGGCTGGGATCCATTAGCACAAACGCCTTCAGGACTAAACTCATTTTTATGTATCCAATTGTTTCACAAAGGAGCCCAAACAAGTGTATATTAGCCACTTAGAGCCTGCCCCCTTTACATAGCCTATGTGTGCTACTGCCCTCTAGTGGACATATCTTTTTTTCTTTGATCAAGCCAGGATTTCTTCAAAACCCATATTCTGGGTTTGCCTGGCATGAGAACAGGTAAGAAATGGATAGTAAAAAACAAAAGCTTGTCTTGGCTTGAGCCAGTTTCCTCCTCCTACTGGGACACCTTAGAGGACCCTCTCAAATAGGGTAACTCTTCAAAGCCTTATTTAGAATTTGTTATCAAACCATGCTTTGGGAAAAAAAAAAAAAAAAAAGTTAGGACTAACATTTCTTGATCTCAAAACATTGCCCACACCAGCCTGTCACAAAAATGTCAACACTGACCAGGCCAGAGTGTCTCAGTTGGTTGAGTGTCATCCTGTGCAAAGAAAAGTTGCAGGTTCAATTCCTGGTCAGGGCATATACTTGGGTTATGTGTTCAGTCCTGGTCAGTGCATGTATGGAAGGCAACCAATCAATGTCACTCTCTTACATCAATGTTTCTTTCTCTCCCTATCTCTCTCTCTCTCATAAAAATAGTTTGGGAATGCAAGGATATTTGACTTTGAGTGGTGAATAAAAATACAATATATAGATTATGTATTATGTATTATGAATTGTAGCCCTGGCTGGGTAGCTCAATTGGTTAATGCAGGCTCAAGGTTCAATCACTGGTCAGGGCACATACAAGAACCAACCAATGAAACATAAATAAATGAAATAACAAATCAATGTTTCGTTCTCTCTCTCTCTAAATCAATAAATTAAAAAATATATAAACTGTACACTTGAAAACTATATAATTTTATTAACCTATGTCACCCCCAATAAATTCAATTAAAATATTTTCTGTTTGGCTCAGTGGTAGAGCGTTGGTCTGCGGACTGAGGGGTCCTGGGTTAGATTCTGGTCAGGGGTGTGTATGTTGGTTGCGGGCATATCCCCAGTAGGGGGTGTGCAGGAGGCAGCTGGTCGATGTTTCTCTCTCTTCGATGTTTCTAGCTCTCTATCTTTCCCTTCCTCTCTGTAGAAAATCAATAAAATATATTTTTTAAAAGAAGAAGAAATATAGAAAAGCCTTCATTGATCACAACCTTTAGAAAACCATATAAAAGTGAAGAATATGGGGAAGGCTTCTGTTATTCCAATTCCTATCAAAAGCATAAAATGACTCACTGAATAAAACTCCTTAAATGTACACACAATGGGAAACATTTTAATTGATCCACATTCTTACATGTGAAAACTCCCTCAGAAGACAAATAGAAATGTAAGTAACATCAGAAAGCTTGATAGAAATTAACCTCAGCCATAACAATGAATGAAATATTGCCATTTGTGGCAACATTGGTGGACCTAGAAGGTGCTATGTTAAGTGAAATAAGTCAGACAGAGAAACACAAATACCATATGATTTCATTCATATATGGAATCTAAAACACAAAATAAATGAACAAATAAACTCATAGATACAGAGAACAAATTCATGGTTGCCAGATGGGAGGAAGTTTGTGGGGGACTGGTGAAAAAGGTGAAGGGATTAAGAAGAATAAATTGCCAGTTATAAATATAGTCACAGGATATAAAACACAGCATATGCAATATAGTCAATAATATTGTAATAACTGCATATGGTATTGGGTGGGTACTAGACCTATCTGGATGATCACTTTGCAAGTTATATAATTATCTAATCACTGTGTTGTACACATGAATCTAATATAATATTGTAGGTCAACTGTAACTGAAAATAATTTTTTTAATTTTTTTTATTAATCTTCACCTGATGATATTTTTACCATTGATTTTTAGAGAGAGTAGAAGGGAAGAGACAGAAAGAGAGAAACATCAATGTGAGAGAGACACATGGGATTGGTTGCCTATCTCATGAACCCTGACCAGGGCCAGGGATTGAGCCTGCAACCAAGGTACATGCCTTTGACCATAATTGAACTCAGGACCCATAAGTCCTTAGGCCAAAGCTCTATCCTCTGAGCCAGGGCTTTAAACATTTTTTAAAGATGAATAAAGTCCTGACATCAGTTTCCCAATATCAGTGTACTGGTCACTACTGCATTGTATACCTAACATGTAAATTTTAGCCCTGGCCAGTGTTTCTCAGTGGTTAGAGCATTGGTCCACACACCAAAAGGTTGAGGGTTCTATTCCCTGTCAAGAGAACGTACCTGGGTTGCATGTTCAATCCCTAGACTCAGTCAGGACACATGCAGGAGGCAACCAATCGATATGAGACACTGATTTTTCTCTCTCCCCCTCTCCCTCCCTGCCTCTCTTCTTTCCTCTCTGATCTGGGACACCCTTCAGGGCAAACCAGCTGACCCCCACCCATGCACCAGGCCTCTATACTATTTAATAAAAGAGTTATATGCAGATTGACCATCACTCCAACACACAAGATGGCTGCCACCATGTGGTCAAAGATCCTGCCCTCATGTGGATACAAGATGACCACCACAAGATGACCAGCAGGGGAGAGTAGTTGGGAGGGACCAGGACAGCAAGGGAGGGCAGTTTGGGGCAATCAATCCTGCAAGGGGGGGGGGGGCCGTTAAGGGCGACCAGGCTTGCAGGGGATGGCAGTTAGAGGCAAACAGGCTAGCAGGGGAGCAATTAGGCATCAATCAGGCTGGCAGGGAAGTGGTTGGCAGGCAGAAGCAGTTAGGGGCAATCAGGAAGGCAGGCAAGTGAGCAGTTGGGAGCCAACAATCCTGGATTGTGAAAGGGATGTCCCAGATTGGAGAGGATGCAGGCTGGGCTGAGGGACATCCACCCCCCACCCTCTGTGCACAAATTTCTTGCACCAGGCCTCTAGTCATTCATAATAGCCAAAAGGTAGAAACAAACCAAATACCCGTTAGGGGTAACTAGATAAACAAAATATGTTTTATCCATATAAGTCTACATTATTTGGCCATAAAAACAAATAAAGTATCCTTACATATTACAACATGAATATTCCTTGAAAAATTATGCTAAGTGATTGAAATTAGTTGCAAAGATACTCATATGTAAATCTAGAGAAGGAAATATATGGACAGTAAACTTAGAGGTTGGCTAGAACTGTGGATATTTTACATCAGAATTAGAAGATGGGAAGACAGAGAAATGATAGCTAAAGCACACAGGGGTTTGGTTTTGAGGTGACAAAAAATTTTTTTCAAAAATTGTGGTGCTAATGTACTTATCTGTGAATATACTAAAACCCAACAAATTGTACACATTAAAGGGATGCATTGTATAATATGTGTATTCTATCTCAATAAAGCTTTCAAATAAAATGTATTCAGAGTTTTAAATAAACGTGTTAAACATATTGAGTTTCCAGGTACCTCCCACATTTCCAGAACCTTTATTGTTTTTTCTTATATAGGTGATAATGGGAGTTCATTTGCCTTAGGAATGTCATAGCTGTTTGCGCTTCGAAATCTCTGGGCATGGGCACACACTCAAAAACCATTTAAATTGTCTGGTCTGCAATGCTTGGCAGCTGAGGGATAACTCTGAATCAGGAGGTCACGGTTCGATTCCCAGTAAGAGCAATCAATGATTCTCTCTCACTCTCTCTCTTTCTCTCTCTCTCTCTCTCTCTCTCTCTCTCTCTCTCTCTATCTATCTCTCTCTCTCTCTGAAATCAATTTTTTAAATCATGTTTTTTAAAAAAAAAAAAACACTTAAATAAATTTCCCTGTATTGGAAAATGTACACCTGAGAGTTTTATTGAACACATCTTACGATTTATGGTTAGTCAGGGCCTGGGCTTGGAGGTCCCAGCTTCCCAGCAGAATCAAGACCTTGGGCAGCCATGCGACTCATTTGCTAAAATGTATAGAGGTCTAGAAGGGGCTGGTAGAAGCCACAGTGCTGACAGCAAGGATCAAAATGGAGCCAGAATTTTTATTGCATATGGCGAGGTCATTTTTAAATGGCTTTGTAAATAAGGATCACCGTTCGATGGATGGCCTCCCAGCTAGGTCAACCCCTGACCCAGGGAGGCCTTCTGACCTTCTGGTCCCAGGGGCTTGGTCTCTCGCCTGGACGCCCCTCTTGATCAGACATGGGCATTGCTCCGTCTGGAAACTGCAATTCCCTGCGCACACAGGTGTCCCACGTTCAGGTAGACAGCACAGCCCCTCTAAGGCCAGGAACAGGTTTTATTTAAAAGCAAATGTCAAGAAACCGGTTTGGTTCAGTGGGTAGAGCTTCGGCCTGGGGACTGAAAGGTCCCAGGTTCGATTCCGGTCAAGGGCATGTGCCTTGGTTGCCGGCACATCCCCAGTGGGGGGTGTGCAGGAGGCAGCTGGTCGATGATTCTCTCTCATTGATGACTCTAACTATCCCTCTTCCTTCCTCTCTGTAAAAAATCAATAAAATATATTTTTAAAATAATTTTTAAAAATAAAAAATAAAAGCAAACATCGCTCACTAGTAAAAAAAAAAAAAAATTAAAAATTAAATAAAAAAAGCAACCGCCTCTCGAGGGGACATGCCCCGCCCACCCGCAACAGCTATTCCGCGTTAGCCCCACGGACCTTCCCGGTTGTCACTCAGGAAAACGGGGGGCGGGGCCTTGCGAGCTGTCCAATCAGGGCGCGGCAGCAGGCACGCACGTGAAACTGCGTGGACGCTCCCGGCGGCGCTCGAGCCACGTCCCACCTGCGGGTAACGGTCCCGGTGTCTCCGCCGCAGCGTCGGCCGGGCCCACCGGACCTGCGCCCGCCGCGGAGCTCGGGGATGGCGCCCGGGGACCCCCGACGCCGGGAGGTGGTGAGCGTGGGAGGGGGTGCCGGACCAGGGCAGGGGCTGCTTGGAACCGGCTGTTCCCTGACCTGGCCTCCGGCGGTCAAGTCCACAGTCTGCGGACCGAGTTCCCCGGGTTCCGCTGGGGCCTCGGTCGGTCCTCTCGGGCTCGCAGCGCGGGGCGGGGCTGGGCGGGCGGCCGGGACCCCGTGTCCTGTCCGGTCACAGATGCGGAGCCTCTCGGCAGCTCTGCGCCCGCAGCCTCAGCGCCGCGTCTCCCCAGACCGTGCGGGGACCACGGGGAGTGGGAAACCGTGACTCGGCCTGCGGGGTGTGTGCAGAGGAGGCGCTGAGGTCTGAGCCCCTCCTTTCTCCTCAGGGAGACCCGTTTTACCTGGTTTTCCTGATGCCTGAGAAGCAGGGTCTCCAATCCAGGACTCGTCTCTCCCACCCCTTGGCCCCCCTCTGCCCACCCTCCTCCCCCCCAATCCTTCCTCGCGTCCCTGAAGGCTAACTTGGTCTGCTCGGCTCACAGCATCATTACCAACTATTTATCATTTTTCCACAGGGCCATAGATTGCTCTTTTTAAGGATGTATTTTATTTATTCCCTGTGGATATGTTTACATGAGAGGAAGGCCGAGAATGGCCATCTGGAATCGTTGAGTGAAGTCCCCGTTCCGCTCCCCCAGGATCTGCCCTGGGCACGGACACGCAGGGCAAGTCCTTAGGGTGGAGGTCCCTCTTCGGGAACTTTCCTGGGTGTCTTGTCCCGTGAGCACAGCCCCTCCCTGTGTTTGTCACCTGAAAAGACTTACCGGCTTAGATATGATTTTGCTTTTCAATAAGGGTTAAATATGTTCCATCAGAAGAGCTAGAAAGGCAAAGTCGTTACACTCAGGCAAGAAAGAGGTGGATTGGGGGGAGGGGCGGGGGAATTTTCAGTGTTGCTTTACATTTGTATAGAATTCTTCTTCGACTCCTCCTTCCCTTGTAGTAAGTTTCTGAAGTCTGCTTTTTATTTTTGGAGTGTTTTCAAATAAAATTCCAGGTTCAGACTTGCAGAGCAGAAGTGTTTGAGTGTGAGCAATTATAAACCAGTTCCTTTTCATCTAAATAGAAATAATGGACACCTTTTTCTGACAAGAATACATCTTAGAGGTTTTCTAGTTAAACTAGTAAAAGACAACTTATTCTTCCTTCCTTTCCCCATGAATGCTGGGATTATGTGATTTGGGTGGATTGTTCAAACACGGTATTTATGTCATTCAAAATACCAAAGTGTGTTGCAGAGTAACTGCAGTGGTGTGTAGAGACCTGAGGGCAGTGTATCTGAGGCCCCCTTGAGCCTGCAAAGGGAAGTACCTGAAGGCTCAATTTGTTTTTTTCTGGAGAGTCCCACCTGCTCACACCCGCCATGGAGGGAGCCTTTACACTAAGAAGCTACAGCCCTGAAAGCTGGGGTGCAGGTGCACCTGGGCGAGGGGGTGAAGCCCCTTCTGAGGTTTTAGTTGTGCTTCCCCTGGGCCTGTTTCTAGGCATAGGTTGGAGTTTTGCACCCACAGTGTAGGTGCACTCAGAGTGTCATTCATGTGCGTTGAGAACATCTGGAGTTCTGTGTCCTGAATTAGTGTTCATGAATTTGGAGTTAATTTGGGTCAGAACCTTAAACTAAATCTGGCTGAGCATTTCCTCACTGTGGGAGGAGGGTGTTGGAGCCCCCAGACTTCATTCCTGGGGCTGCTCAGGTGTCTCTCCCCTCCTCTTCCAGGGACTGACCCACTCCAGGGGTTATATCTTAACCGGGAGAGTCTAGGACGTGGAACCTTCTGAAAGTGACTTTCCTTCTGTCCTGTGGGAAGCAGACTGCTCATCTAGAGCTGATTCCAATGCTTGTGTTTCTTTACTTTGGATTCTTTATCCATTGAATGCTGCAACCCTTTGGCTCTAGTTTCCCGGAGGACCTTGTAAGAACTAAATAGAGCCAAAATCTGTTTAGCTCAGTGGATAGAGCATCAGCCTGCAAACTGAAAGGTCCCAGGTTTGATTCTGGTCAAGGGCATGTACCTTGGTTGCGTGCACATCCCCAGTAGGGGGTGTGCAGGAGGCAGCTGGGCAATGTTTCTCTCTCATTGATGTTTCTAGCTCTCTGTCCCTCTCTCTTCCTCTCTGTAAAAAATCAATAAAATATTTTTTTAATAACTAAATAGAATTTTTGTTCCTTTTAGGCAAGAGGATTTCCAGACGAGATGAATGTATTTAAGCACTCAGGTTAATTTTTTGTTTTTACGTCAGTATTTGTATGTGCATAGCCCCGTAGAACATTGATATTTAAAAGGCTAAAGCAGCCGAAGCCGGTTTGGCTCAGTGGTAGAGCGTCGGCCTGCAAACTGAAAGGTCCCAGGTTTGATTCTGGTCAAGGGCATGTACCTTGGTTGCGGGCACATCCCCGGTAGGGAGTGTGCAGGAGGCAGCTGGTCGATGTTTCTCTCTCGTCGATGTTTCTAGCTCTCTATCTCTCTCCCTTCCTCTCTGTAAAAAATCAATAAAATATATTAAAAATAAAAATAAATAAAAGGCTAAAGCAATTGAATTTCTGTTTTAAGTGATATGAGCTAAACTAATCAAAGTTTATATAGGTCTTTGAAAATCCTACTACATTTGAAAAAGTTACACCCAAATGCCTTTTGCACAGTAATATGCTACTTATTCCTGAAACTACCCCTATGTAGAGACCCGAGGGCAGTGTATCTACGGCCCCCTTGAGCCTGTGGGATAAAGGGGAAGGATAAACTGGGATGCCACTTGTCCTTTTAGTTAGCAAGGTATGTGAAATTTTCATTTTGTATGGTTACACTTTTGTAACCCTTAGTGTTTAAAGTAACTAAATCTTAGAAGGGGTTCCTATATACAAAAGTTATAGTTAAAGGAAAACTAGTAAAATAGTAGCATCACTTTCTCTGTTTATTTAAATAAATTTGTAAGATAGAAAAAGTCTAACCTAAGAACGTTCACTGAGCAACCAGTTCAAAGTTGGACAGCTGGTACTGCTCATTTGACAATCAGCTGAAGGACTCACTGTTCACAGGGCCATGGATTGCTCTTTTTAAAGATGTATTTCTATTTTTATTTATATTGTCCACAAATCTGGTCCCGCCAGTGCTGTTACTCTAGCCACCTCTAAATACACAGTTTTGATCATTTCTTGAGCTCCTGTTAGTATTCCTTTCTATAAAAACAAGTTACCGCAAATGCATATTATTCTTATCCATGTTTGTCCTTATAATGAGCAATCAGTCTGAATTGTTTCGTATTTGCTGACAGCTTACGCCTCCTTCCCCCTCCCTCCTTTCTTGTGTCCACACCTGGACAGGCTGATGAGGAAGTCCAGGGCTTCCTCCTCTGGCACTGGCTTCAGATTGCAACCACACAAGCCCCAGTCTGTGTTTAGAATTCTTGCCTTGGCCCAGCCCCTGACAAGGAAACTTTGCTTGAACAATTTGGAAGAATAGGGCTTCCTGCAGCCTAAGCAAAGCAGAGAAGGGAGCGAAGCCCACCAGGGGGAGATTTACTCTCTTCTCCGCTGCCTCACTCTCTTTTCCACTGCTTTGCTCTCTTCTTCGCTGCTTCACTCCCTTCTGCAGCACTTGGCTTCCTTCTACAGTCTTCAGTCTTTGCTCCATGCCTATGTATGCAAATTAACCTCTATCTTTGTTGGGTTAATTTGCATACTTGCTCCTGATTGGCTGATGGTCATAGCAGAGGGACGGTCAATTTGCATGTTTCTCTTTGATTAGTGTAGATTCTTCAGCTTCAGAATTTTTGTTTGGTTCTTTATGATTTCTGTCTACCTGTTGAATTTCTTATTTTCTTAATTTTCATTGTTTTGGGTATCTGTATTCTTATGTAGTGGGCCCTTCTCTGCCTTTTATTGAGCATTTTATCTGGTTCCATTTGAAGTAAATTTTAAGTAAATTTTTAAATAAATTTATCAGGGTAACAATTTTCAATAACATTATATAAATTTCAGGTGTACACCTTTATAATGCAACATCTGTATACACCTTTGTGTGTTAACCATTTAAAGTCACCTTGGTTGCAGGCACATCCCCAGTGGGGGGGGGGGTGCCAGAGGCAGCTGATCCATGTTTCTCTCTCAATGATGTTTCTAACTTTCTATCTCTCTCCCTTCCTCTCTATAAAATATATTTTTAAATGATAATAATAATAATAATTCTCTCTTATCATTGATGTTTCTATCTCTCTGTCCCTCTCCCTTCCTCTCTGAGATCAATAAAAATCTATTTTTTGAAAACATATATATTTTTTTTAATTAAATAAAATCACCATCCTTCTGTCACCATGGCTTTCCCCTTGGCTTTCTTCCTCCCCGCTTTGCTAACCATACATCCATTTGTCCGTATCTATGAGTTTGTTTGTTTTGTGTTGCTTTTTATTTAATATCCCACATATAAGTGAAGTCATATACTTATTCTCCTTTTCCAGCCAACTTACTTTATTTAGCATAATACTCTCAAGATTCACCCATGTAGTCACAATGGCAATATTTCATCATTTTTATGGCAAAGTAATATTCCAATGTATATATGTATCACATTTTCTCTATCTTCATCCATTGAAGAGCACTTAGCTTGTTTCCATGTCTTTGCTATTGTGACTAGTACTGCAATATACACAGAGGTATTATGTATGTATGAGTAAGTCTTTTCAGATTTTTCAGGTAGATACCCAGAAAAGGAATTTCTAGGTCATGTGATAAATCTGTTCTTAATTTTTTGAGGAACCTCCATATTGTTTTCCACAGTGTCTGTACTAATTTACATTCCCATCAGTAGTGGGCCCTTCTCTGCCTTTTATTGAGCATTTTATCTGGTTCCATTTTTCTCCTCTCTTAGTATACCATTTTACATTTTTTTAGTTGGGCTTGAGTATGCAGTATACACATACAACTAACCTAAGTTCTCTGTAAAGTAACACTGTACCTCCCTACTGGAGATGCAAGAGTAT